GTCAAGGGACATTCCTCAGAGAGGGGAAACAACTCATGCTGTCTCAGCAACTGACACCATTCCCCCACCCAGGTAGTCAAAAAGGCCAGATGTGGGACCACAGCAGAGAGCATAGAAGGAAGAGGTTTGATGCATCTTTTAGCTTCTCCTGGAACAGAGTAAGCTCTCATGTTTCACAACTCTGCTCAGAGAAGGGGATAGTTCCTGTCTGAATACATCTCCCTTTATGAGCTAGTTAGAGCGCTAAGATTATCCGGGGAGGACCTGCTCTTGATCCTACTCCTCCTCGCAAGTGTAACTGGTGTGGACGAGAGACAGGGCCCTTCTCGGAGGTGGCCCCTCGGCTGTGGGACTCCCTCCCCAGCGGGATTAGATCACCCCCCCTCCTCTTGGTGTTCAGAAAATAGCTCAAAACTTGGCTATGCAAGCAGGCATTCGGCTATTGATAGAAATACTGAAGCAGTTAAAGGAGAACCACAGGATTGATGCAATGTTAAAATGTTTTATGTCATGCCTGATGGTTTGTATAGTTTAATGATTTTAATTTAGAGTTATATGTTATTGTTTAAGATATATAATGTATTGTAATGTATATAATGTATTGTTTTATATGTGTGTGAAGCATTGCATTTTTGCCTTTTATTATGCTGTACACCACTTTAAGTCCCCCTAGGCATAAGAAAAGCGGTATAGAAATGCAATAAATAAAATAATAATTGCCGATAATCACATAGTCCTAGACACTTGTGATCCAATACAACAACCAGTATAGTGATCTTGTTTGCTTTGTACTAATCTTGTTGTGTTTCGAATCATCATCATCATCATCATCTTACAGAGAGAGTTAAGATACATTGACTTTTGGATAAGTCAACTCAGGGTTTTAGGTAGTTTTTTTAATTAAAATTTCTAGACATTATGAGTATATCAGGTACATTACAATATATTGTAAAATATGAGGAAATTTACTATTAGAATTAGCATAGCTAACACTGATTACTGATGAAAATAAACATTTTAAATTATTTAATAATTTAAAAGATTTTAGGCAGTTGAAAGCACCATTGTGACTGTGGCTGCAATTAAGACATTGTACCTGTATCATTTAACTCTTCAAGCCAGGTACTCTACCAGACTTGGAAATACTAGATATATTGCAGTTTTTGAAAATGATAGGAATTCCAGTTTCAACACACAAATGTCTGTTTATGTATATACAAGATGAAATATATCTAGATTTAGATGAGCTCCAGGCTAAGTGGGCATCCAAATTAGAGATTTTGTTAAAATAACACATGTGGACAATTCTTTCTAAAATGGTAACAGACATCTTCCCATTTATGTTTGTACTTGATCCAGCATAAAATCATATCATTATAATGAATGTTTGAAATGTTCACTTGCAAATTCAACATTAAGACATATTTTAGAGTTCTGTCCCATAATTAACTCTTTTTGGAATGAAAAAAATTAAAACATTAAGAGTGTGATAAATACTACAAAGACCACTAGCTGTAGCTCTGGCTAAATATATTTTTCTTAAAAATTGAAAATTGCATTGTGTACTCAATAAAAGATCTGTTTAAAGATTCATTAGATTTTGCAACTAAAGTAAGGGTTGCCATTGGTTATTAAGAAAGTGTCAGGAAAAGACCAAATATTGCAGATTTATTTTATTACTTTTTGGTAATTGAAAATAACAATTAAAATAGAATTAATAAAGAAAGAGTCGTGTAAAACTTTTCCATCATATGTATTTTATTGATTGGCTAGCCTGGGAGAGTTTACACCTTTTCATTTTGAGTGTCTTTGAGATGATTRTCCCATCAACATAATCAGCATCAGCATCCTATAAGTTTCAGACAATTTGCAGAATATCAGACTCCACAGTATTTTTGAGCTGATAGTCAAATTTGGGATTTTGAGAAGATGATAGAGTTACTCTCACAAAATGGATACCATGGTAGAAATGGGCAGCCACAAAGCACCAATTTCCCAGAAGGGCAGTGTGTTACAGCCAGAAGAAAAACCACTTGCCCAAGAGCCTAAATGCAAGCTGAAAATTCTATCAGAGCTTCAGAACAAAAAAAAAAAAAMCCCCCAAAAACCCTAATTTTTGGAAATGAGATTTCCTCTCTAGCATAAGCTCCACAGAAGGCAAACAGAACAGGCTCTTAGATAAATACATGCAACAGATGGTATCTAGAGAATTAGCAAGATATTATTACTAACTTACTCTTTGGAGACCTTTCATAAACCTAGCAGGAAAAATAATCTGAAAAGCCTGATTTTAAGTGGCCTAATAGATGGACACAAAGAGGAGTATTGCTTGGATAGCCTTTCTGGCTACTGACAGCTAGACGTACTCAAAAGTCATTCAGTGGCACAGATTCAAATCTTGTTTTTTAAAGCAGAGATGCAATGTATTTCAATAAGATCTTCATACTCTGGCATGGATGGATATGTGTGTGTGTGTAGATAGATATTATTTTTTGTGTGGAACCTCTGTAATGTTTTTTCAGAATCCCAGGGTTCTGCGGAGCACAGTTTGGGGATTGCTACTCTATATACACACAAACCTGACGATCTAGTACCTGAGATGAGAATTACCACAAATATTGGGGAGGCCAGCTTTGTTTGTAGGCAGTGTTCCAATACATTATGATTTGATCAGTTTGTTCGTTAAATCACTTTGTCTTAATTTGATTCTTGTCTGATTTTATATTCGAAGATTGGGATTGACCCTGCTATGTATCTCATGATAGACTTAGCTTAACAGCTCAACTCATGCTGTAGTCAGAGACCAGCGAAAATTCTTGGCTTCATTTTTGAGGCAATTTATGTTGGACTGCATGTTGAATTAGTTGAAAGAATCAAGATCTCAGTTGCCCTGGGGTGGCTGTAAAGCACACTTCTTAAATAGGTTTTTTTCCCTTCCTCGTGATTCTGGGAAGCCCTGTTTGCCTTTGTAGTGAGCACTGCCAAGCCAAAATTAATGCTTGTAGCAGTCTGCAGCTGTGTCCATAACTGAAGATTGTTTTTGTTTAGTTATGGGGTTTTTTGTCTTTACGAGGTCACAAGTTTGCAGGAGTGCCTGCTTACGGGAAGTTTAGTAATTCAGTTAACTCTGTGTTTTCTGGATATTGGGAAGCTGAATCCAGGGAACAGCAAAGTGAAAAATCACTAGAAAATTCAAACATATTGTGGAACCAAAGCAAGAAAGGGATATTTCAGAGCTGATCCTTCGCTATATGGTTACTACAACAGCAGTGCTTGTCCAACGAGAAATAGCCTTTTAATGTTTTCCTTCCCTAAAGGGTAACTGTATTGGAATAAATGCTTCATTTGACAACATTTATAAGATACTTGGAGCTTTCTGCAGAAAGGAGATATATATGTGGTTCATTTAGTACAACAAATATTCTGTGCCCACTGGCTTATCGACCATGTAAATATGATTCCATTTCAAAAATAGTTTCAGAGAATATACTTTCTGATACTATGCTCAAACATTTTCATGTAACAATTTTATTGCAATGTTACTTGATCAGTCCATGCCAGGTAATCATCTAGCATCTTGATTTTTTAAGAAAATAGCCCATTTCAGTCATAACAAGACTTACTATAGAAAAATTAGCAATTTATAGCAAAGCTATCTTTAACTATATAGGGCTGTGGTTGTGCAGTGGGTTAAACAGCTGAGCTGCGCAACTTGCTGATCAAAAGGTCAGTGGTTCAAATCCGCAGACAGGGTGAGCTCCCATTGTTAGCCCCAACTTCTGCCAAACTATTTGTTTATTATTTATTTATTTGCAATATTTGTATACCGCCCTTCTCAACCCCGAAAGGGATTCAGGGTGGTTCACAGTGTTGGCAACAATTCAATGCCATCGATAAAACAGTATAAACCATCAAAATTGACTCTCCCCAAATAAAACATAAAACATTATTAAACACATCACATAAGATAACATCACCTATCACGCAGAGACATAGCTGTTGTTGTAAACAGTCCTGGGTCATTGCACTTTCAACTTTCACTTTAACTTTAAATATTCCCATGATGGGCCAAACCTAGCAGTTCAAAAGCATGCAAATGTGAGTAGATCAATAGGTACCCCTCCGTTGGGAAGTAACGGTGCTCAATCCAGTCATGCTGGCCACATGACGTAGGAGATATCTATGGACAATGCCGGCTCTTCGACTTCGAAATGGAGATGAGAACCACCCCCAGAGTCAGACTCAACTAGACTTAATGTCAAGGGGAAAGTTTTATCTCTAACTATGCAGGATTTTGTATAGTTTTTCAAGGGATCTGAGGGAACGCACCTGTTTTCTGTGTGCTTTCCTTAATGGGAAAAAACACATAAGTATTTTAAGCATACATGACTGCCGTGTGGCAGGAGGATAGGGAGGAGGGTGGCTCAGAATGAAAGAGACAAGGAGATGGAGTTGTCTGGAAGGGTGAGAAAAAAATGTCTTTGTTGAAATGCGTTTTTGTTGTAGCAGAAAATTGTGTGTTAAAGGAATTGTTTCATTTCACAAGTCTTAGAACTTGTTTCTCCTTAGATTCCATCTGCTTGCCCTTCATGATTTTCCACGACAACCTGAGGCAGTTTCTTAAATGTGTCCATGTTCTAAAAAGGCTGAAGACATCTGATCTATGGACTTGAAAAAATTGATTCTTTCATCATGGTTCTTCTAATTATCTAGAAGCAAATTGTCTTAAATTCCATGTGACTGCCTCTTCGGTAGAAGCCACAGATTCATCAATTGCCTATAAAGGCATCTTTCAGAATACAATTGAAGGCCCTGTTTTTAAACGAGCATTCTATTTGTTTAAGATTTCATTCATCCTTTAAAATATATGAAGAGAGAAAGAACAGTAATGTAATTTGAAATGAAATCTCTTCTTTCTTGTGTTTTCTTCTTGGCTGCCTCTTGTATCAATTTTCTCAGCAAATACTGTGTACATTTATTCTGTCTGGCTATCTGTTTAGGTCTGGTCCATCACATCTGTAATCTCCTAATAGAAGCTGCTGCTCTGTGCTTGGATGCAGATGATAAAAGCAACATCAAGATGGCAAATGCTTTTCTCCTCTCGTTGCTTGACATTTTGCACCACATGCTGATACATACAGCTAATATCGTCCGCCTGACACTGCAGGTATAGAGTCTATTTTCTGGTAGAATGAACATTGTCGTGCAAAATTTTAGTCTCTTTTCCTTCACTCTTGCTGGATCCGATCCACCAAATTAAATAGAACAGATTTGTTTAACAAGTGAGTATCTACAAGGTGTTTACAGGCAATGGCTTGTTAACTACCTGTGGGTTAAACAACCATAGTGGGTATCTTTGATTTTCACAAGCCCATTTAGGTAATTTGTTCCTTCTGGGTTGTTGTAGGATTTTTCGGGCTATGTGACCATGTTCTAGAAGCATTCTCTCCTGACATTTTGCCTGCACCTATGGCATGTCCTCAGAGGTTGTGAGACCTCACAACCTCTGAGGATGCCTTGCCATAGATGCAGGGGCAAAACGTCAGGAGAGAATGCTTCTAAAATGGCCATAGTTTGACAGACCTCTTTGGTGTGGGAGGGGCTACAGACATTCACTTTAGACCTCAGTGGAGTTGGATGCAGTATGCTTTTGGACTTCAATGGAAGCAGATGTCATTTGGACTTATGCAGAAACAGTGGGTTGTAGGTTTTTTCAGGCTATATGACCATGTTCTAGAGGCATTCTCTCCTGATGTTTCGCCTGCATCTATGGCAAGCATCCTCAGAGATACAGGCGAAACATTAGGAGAGAATGCCTCTAGAACATGGCCTTGTGGGTACAAGGGAGAGAGCCTTCCCCTCTGTGGACCCCCGACTCTGGAATTCATTGCCCGGAGAGATCAGGAAAGCCCCCACTTTGGAAACTTTTTTAAAGGGTCTCAAGACCTGGTTCTGCCGTTGTGCTTTCAGAGAGTAGCCAAATCATTTTATGCTAGTGCTCCCCCAACTTTCTTGTCCCAGGAGTCCGTCCCGTCCCCCCCCATGTACAAAGGTTTGCTTATTTTCCTATCTCTCTATGAGTTCTCCCTTACAATTAGTTCTTCCCCCTTATCTCACCCAGGGTTTTTAAAATCATTTTATGTACATGCGACCTACCCTCTATCATTTTGTTATTATATTTAGTTCCTATGTTCTGTGTATATTGTTTTATATGTTTTGATGTTTTATTTTAATGTTATCTTGCTTATTTTATTGCAATTTTCAATTTGTATTGTTATATTGTAATTCTTGTTCGGGCTTGGCCCCATGTAAGCCAATCCGAATCCCCATCGGGGAGATGGTGGCGGGGTATAAATAAAGATGATGATGATGATGATGATGATGATGATGATGATGATGATGATTTAGCTCAAAAAAAAACCTACAACAACCCATTTCTATACTGCTTTTCAGATATAAAAATCTCCAGAGAGATTTGAATCCCTACATTTTGGATGTATCTTCAGGAAGTGCCAAGATTATAATACACTAAAATATAGTTTAGGCAGTGTGTGTGGTAAACATGTGGCTATTTAAAGTGTTCCTGATAGAACCCTGCATTTCTACTCATCACACTGACATATTGACAACATCTTCTGAGTAACAATTGTTTTTATATCTTAGTTTTCAATTGCACCTTCAAACTTTAATAAATAAATATTATGGTGAAAGTATAATAATGTCACATTCAAATGCTGGTATTGAATGAGGGCAGATGTAGACCAGATGGAGTGGTCTATGTTGTTCTGAGTTCCAGATGTGGGGTTAAAGCAGTACATGTTTAATTGTGTTTTCTTTATTAATTTGTTTTCCTTAGCTTTATTCTCCCATGAAAATGCTAATCAAAAATTAAAATTATCAAAGTAATTGTAATATTTAAAAACTATATTTGTAATATCTGCAAAGGAGTATAATCCTGTTTATATAGATTAACACAGTGATATTCTCAGTATTTGCTTCCCAAGACTGTTTTTTATTATATTTTTCTCATTAAGGCTCAGAAATCTGGCACTGGAGGGGATACCCAAACTGCTGAAGACCTCCTGCTTATCAATAAACCCTTGACAGATCTAATCAGCTTGCTTATTCAGCTGGTAAATACTTCCTTCTTTGTAATATTGTTTATTTAGATTTTAGCCTGCCTATCCCAAAGATTCAGATTTCATTATAATGTGACAAAAAAAATCAAAGACAAAAATGTTATCATTTTTCAAAAATACTTATCCTAAGTTACCAGCAAAGGAACTGCATAGTATTAATTCACCATCTCAGTGCCTGAACTATTTTTTAGCTGTACCTATTGTCTTCCAGACCAAATGCCTTGCTGCCTGAAGCAAAGGGAAAAAAGATAATACACACATGCATATGTTCAGTTTACAGAATCTGACCAGCTATGGATGGAATCGTATGTCAGTATTGGCTGCCTCTGTTCTCTTGAGTTCAATGACGGGGAATTGCCTTCTCCAATAATTCTAGAGAAATTAGAAAAGGAAGTCTAATGAATCAAGTATCCACCTTTGTTGAAAGAAATACATTTCTGTCCCACATCCTGAGTTACAGTGTTTTTAGGGTATCTTTTCAGAAAGGAAAATGATTTTGTTCTCCAGTTGACCTTTCCACACTGAGACACATCATGGCATGAAAGTGCACAAGTTGGCCTAAAATGAATCAGAGTGCAGGTTAAACCAAAGTACTATCCCCACAAGCTGAGCTTCAACCAGAGATCTGGAGTCACAGACCTTTTTGGTTCACCAAACAACCAAGAATGACTTCAGACCAGTCTACCTTCTGTGTCCAAGGTCTCTTAGTTCGACATGTTCATCAGAACTTGCCAGCAAAGAGAAGCAGGACTCTATCTATTCATTTCATAAAAAAGGATTAGTGGGAGAAAAAAGAAAGAAAAACAAACAACTATTGGGACAGGTCCAGAATAAACACTGAAAGGAATATGAGTCTAAGCAAAAGGTTCTTGCTCTTCTTGTTCCTCCTTGTCACAGCAATAAGTGACCACTATTTTAAGAATTTTATTCTTAAAAAATATGCCTTGTCCATGTCATTGCACTCTGACATCCCAAAGGAAACTCTTTGGAGCTCCTGAGAAAACAAAAAAATGATTCTTCATGTGAATTTGTGTTCTGTGAGCTTTACAAAGACAACTCCACACATCCAAGGTTATTCTACTTGAATTTAATGTAGTGGATCACAGCTTTTGCCACTATTAATTTCACAAATGCTCAGAAGAGATTCCCAAGATCATAGTCCTCTCTCTTCCTAATATTTTCTCAACATTTGCATCTTTTTATTATTAGTTTCACACAACTTGGCAGAGTTTTGATGTTTCTTTGAGATGACTCAAGGGTTGAGGATCTTTAATTGCTCACCTAGCTGTATGGGATTATTGGATAGCTCCTCCCACTGAAGAAGCAAAATTGGTTTTTTGCATGCTCCAATGGGAGGTGCCAATCAGAAGCACAAAAACATGTGGTTTCCGGAACATAATTTTGTGAGAAGAGACAGATTTCCATTTTTGTCTTCAGTCGAGACAACAGATCACTTTGAAAGTAAGCATAATGTTTTCTCGCCCCTTAGTCAAATTCAGTCTGTTAAATAATGCAAGATTCCTGTTCTTGACATATTTTAGAGAAAAATAGCCAAAACTAACTTTAGCTGTAAAAATGCATCTCTATATCATTAATTTTAATCATCCAGTGTAATATTTACTTCTAGGTTTTGCTGGAGTTAGCTTTAAATAACTTTAAAAGTGATGACTGAATTGTTTAATAAAACTATTGTAACTATTAAAGCAGTTTTCTGCTATTTTTGTGCAATCTAGTGTTCTTTCAAATACGATAAAGGTTTGATAAATGTTCCTAAACAAAACATTCATTTTGTTAATATTTACATCATTCAATTCCATATAAGTCAATACTGTGTATTATTTATAGATGTCAATTTTAGAATGTTATCCACTTTTCAGTTTTTATATTTTCTTGTATGAATCTATTAATTGAACAGGAAGTATAGATTGGCAAAGCTTAATACAAGATTTGAAAAAAAAACGCATATGGTTCAGGAAAGGGAATACAAAGAGGGATGCCATGTAACCTGAAAAATGGATAAGATTCTAGGAAATAGGAAGCTAGAAAGTTAAGCAGATTGCTGAAGGCTAGAAAGAAAGTCCAGGCAGTCTCCGAGTTACAAACATCCAACTTACAAATGGCTCATAGTTAAGAACGAGGCTGAGACAACAAGAAATGAAAATAATTACCTCTAGAAAAAGAAATTCAGTCCTGAAAGAGTTATCATGGGGAAAAGGTGTCTGAACTGAAGCTTTTTCACCTATGCACACTGCACATATCTTATTTGTAGTGCAAAAAAAAAAGCAACACTTAAAAACAAATAATTAAATGAAGAACAATTTTAACAAATATAAGCTTATTAGTATTTCAATGGGAAGTGTGGGCCTGCTTTTGACAGATAAGATAGGATTGTTGTTGTTGTTGTTGTTGTTGTTGTTGTTGTTGTGTGCTTTCAAGTCATTTCAGACTTAGGTTGACCCTGAGCGAGGGCCGTATCCGGCCCCCGGGCCTTAGTTTGGGGACCCCTGTTGTAAAGTAAGGGATATAGCCACCCAGTGGCCTTTGGGTTTCTTGACACATGGATAAAGTTCAGAATGTGCTACCCTATATACAATATATTCATTAACTTCAAAATTATTTCATTTACCTTTCTTTCTCTAAGCAGCTGACATGTGGAGTCAGTGTGCAAGTCAAGATAATGCATATGCTTTTAGCATGCAGTACATACTTGACACGAATCAAAAATCCCATGGTAGGGCAGAACAATACAGATATGGGCATATATTATTCAAGTAGTAATGAAATAAAAATCACAGGTTACATGACTAATGAAGTTTGATTTTACATTTTTCTTAATATTTGATCTTGGTTATAACTCTCAGCATCCCATCCATTTCAGCTTGTTCTGTTATCATATCTCTTACATAACGAACACCTATCTCTTGTCATAATAAGCCCTCTTTGTGTGCAATCTCATTAATGTGCTGAAATAGGCTTCCCTCTGGGTATTAGATGTTCTAGCAACTCTGCTGGTGTTAAATCTGCTATTTAGCAGAAATCATCGTATACATTTCTTGCAGTTCTTCAATGCTGTGCTAGCGAGGCCAAGACAAAATGCTGTTATTCACCTGAAACTACATAAATATGACAGTAGCATAATATTGTCTTAATCAATGCTGTATTATGCTGCTGCAGAATTTCTCCATGAATCATAGAATCATAGAGTTGGAAGAGACCTCATGGGCCATCCAGTCCAACACCTTGCCAAGAAGCAGGAAAATTGCATTCAAAGCACCCCCAACAGATGGCCATCCAGCCTCTGTTTAAAAGCTTCCAAAGAAGGAGCCTCCACCACACTCCGGGGCAGAGAGTTCTACTGCTGAATGGCTCTCACAGTCAGGAAGTTCTTCCTAATGTTCAGATGGAATCTCCTTTCTTGTAGTTTGAAGCCATTGTTCGCCAGCTGCGACCATACCTCGAGAAGTCTGACTTGACCATGGTAGTCCACGCCTTAGTTACCTCAAGATTGGACTACTGTAATGCTCTCTACGTAGGGCTGCCCTTGAAGACGGTTCAGAAACTACAGCTGGTGCAAAGGTCGGCGGCCAGGTTGCTAACTGGAACAAGTTACAGGGAGCTGTCAACCCTCCTGTTTAAACAGCTCCACTGGCTGCCGATAAGTTTCCAGTCCCAATTCAAGGTGCAGGTTGTTACCTATAAAGCTCTAAATGGTACAGGACCTGGCTATCTGTGCGACCGCCTCCTCCCCTATGAGCCCACGTGATCCTTAAGATTGTCCGGATGCCCTTCTCTCGCTCCTGCCCCCGTCTCAGGCATGATTGGTGGGGACGAGGGAAAGGGCATTCTCGGTAGTGGCCCCTCGTCTCTGGAACTCCCTCCCCAGGGAGATCAGGCTGGCACCCTCCCTAGCCAAATTCCGAAAGGAATTAAAAACATGGATATTTTGTTGTGCATTTGACTGACGACCCCATGACATACGACCGGTATCGCAACCTAATTATCATTCAACCTGAATTTCCTATATTACATTACTATTCAGATTTTATAAGTCAAACTGAATTATTTCTGATCCTGTTAGATTGCTCTGTTTTAATGATATTTCCTATGCTATTATACATTTTCATCCACCTTGTTGAACCAATTACTCTTTAATCAGCCCGTATTTTGGCCTCCCCCCCCCCCTTAGTTCTTTTGTTGCTTGATGCTTGTCTATTATTGTTATGTTTGTTTTATGCTTTTAAATTGCATTTTGTTATTGCTCTGCTTTTAATTGTATGTTCTCTGGGCTTGGCCCTATGTAAGCTGGCCCGAGTCCCTACAGGGAGATGAAGGCGGGGTAGAAAAATAAAGTTGTTGTTGTTGTTGTCGTTGTTGTTGTTGTTGTTGTTGTTCTTCTTCTTCTTCTTCTTCTTCATTGTTCCTAGTCTCCAGGGCAGCAGAAAACAAGCTTGCTCCCTCCTCCCTATGACTTCCTCTTACATATTTATACATGGCTATCATGTCTCCTCTCAGCCTTCTCTTCTTCAGGCTAAACATGCCCAGCTCTTTAAGCCGCTCCTCATAGGGCTTGTTCTCCAGACCCTTGATCATTGTCCCTCCTCCCTATGACTTCCTCTCACATATTTATACATGGCTATCATGTCTCCTCTCAGCCTTCTCTTCTTCAGGCTAAACATGCCCAGCTCTTTAAGCCGCTCCTCATAGGGCTTGTTCTCCAGACCCTTGATCATTTTAGTCGCCTTCCTCTGGACACATTCCAGCTTGTCAATATCTGTCTTCAATTGTGGTGCCCAGAATTGTACACAATATTCCAGGTGTGGTTTAACCAAGGCATGAAATGTCTACATGTCCACAATAATGGTTCTTTTGACAAATGTAATCTTGCATTTATATGTTTCTGAAGTCAAGTGCATTTGCCATTCCATAAGCTTGTCTTTTGTTGAGTAAATGTTACTTTCAAAGTCTTCATGATTGCAAGTCATCCTCTGTGGAATGTAGTCTGTGGAAAATATGCTTTGGAATAGTAGAACCATTCTATCTTTTCATTTTCGTTTGAGGACCCTTCCACCTAGCCACATAAGGCGAGTCTGAACCAGCAAAAAAAAAATGCCAGTTCTGAGTCACATTAAGGCCCCACAAGGATGTCCTGAGTTGCCTTGGTGGTGAAACATTCGCCCGACAACCCAGCTGGTTCTTTTGAAAAATGGAAATCTCTATAGCCTTTTGGAGATTTTATGAGCTTTGGAAAGGCATTACCTTGTTAGAAATCATAACCTTTTGAAAAAGGATGCGATAACCTCTTGGTAAAAAGCATGACCTGTTAGAGTCATAGCCTTTTGGGAAAATGACATTCATACAAGGCAATTGGTTTTCTCGGCTGTTAAAAGGATGTACCTTGGTATGTCTTTGAACTGTTAGGGACAAAGATACGCCAATGCACTATATATATATATATATATATATAGAGAGAGAGAGAGAGAGAGAGAGAGAGAGAGAGAGAGTTTCAGAAGTGTTCTTTTTAGTTGCCCAAAAAACATCTACTCTCCCTTAAAATGTATTTCCCTTTAAATCATGCTCTCCAGAGACAAAAATAAGTAGACTTCTTTAAAAGTAACCCAGTGATTCCGGTCATGAAAGCCTTCGACAATACATATAACTATTTTTTTTCAGGGGGATGGGGATGCTGGAGGACAAGAAAGGATTGCCATCCTACCTCCACAGGCTGCTTGAACCTGGGGTAGTTTGAGATGGCTGTGGGGGATATAGGGATCCAGGACGGTTGCCCCCTGTCCCAACACAGGGGAAGGTCAGAATCCTGCTGCAGGATTTGAACCTTCTCCAGTGGGTTTTTTTAAAACTCTGGGTCTAGTCACATTAAGTGTCTTATCTTATCCCAAGTTAAATTGCATTAGCCTATGTGCACTGTATGGGCGCACCAGCCTAATGCAATTCCCACACTGAATTATACAGTTGTATAGATGAAGTCTCAGAGGGGATGTTTAATTTTCATTTGAAGTTGGGGAAGGAGTTTTTATCTTTTTTCCTCATTAGATTTTTCTTAAGTCTCTTTCTTCCTTCAGAGTCCAGTAGGGGATAGTAATGTGCCAACTTCTTCTGTTTTAGTCAACAGGCTTCAAGTTATTTTTGATTTATGGTGAGCATATAGTGAACTTATCATAGGGTTTTCTTAAGGAGGAGTTTGCTTTTTGCCTTCGTCTGAGGCTGGGAGAGTATGATTTGCCCAACGTCACCCAGTGAATTTCGAGGGCTGAGTGGAGGTATTGCCACAATCATAGTCCAACATCCAAACCAGCATAGTACGATGTCTGTTAGTGTCTCAAGTACACTAATTAACATATATATTCCATCTTTCTTCTATTGTGGAACTCAAGACAGTCATTTCCTGACAGTCATTCATGCCAGTACTCAGAAGACTGGTGCATCATTTGTGCTTTATTTAGAACCTTACTATTTATATGTTAACCCTCTGTTTGTTTGCCAGTGAGCAAGTCATAATACAGATTGTGCTACATGCAAAATACGTAGTTGACAAAAACACTTATTTCACCATTTGACAGAGCCTCTTTCTATAACCTTTACAATATGTATTGTCTATTTTTACCAAGAGAAAATGAGATCAAGCATCCAATGAAATTAAGTAAAGTGTCTGTTACTAAATCCAAAAAGCCATCACACTGAATTCTGCGATGTTAAGGACTATGTTTACTATTTTATTTTTAGCTTCCCAGTGAAGACACTGAAATATATGAAAATGCATCACAGTGTTTGTCACTGTTAGTTCAACTGTATGGTGGGGACAACATGGATAGTATGTCTCCAGAAAACATGGACAGCTTCACTGAAGTACTGCAGTTGAAAACTGAAGTGAAAGATCAGAAACTTTTGCTGAGAGTTATTAAGAGACTGGTAAGTTAACTAGTTTCCAGAATTTTATGAAATATACCTATTGCTTAATTTGCATACTGCAGTATGCAAATTAAATAACCTTGGGGAGGTGAACTTGAAGGCGATGATTTCTCTGCTTATGCAAGTATAATCCTATTTAATACTAAGGCAGCTTAACGTTTTCCTATGGGTGGCTTTTTTATTTGCTTTCTAATGAAATTAATCATAAATAAAAAGATAATTAATAAAAATAGTAATAGCTTAATATGCACAACAATATACTTTTGTCGATATCAAAGGATGAGTGACCGTTCCTTTAGCCATAGTAAGTATGAAAAGAATCTGAGGACCTTCATAGACCCCAAGGTAAAAAGTAGACAATAGTGCAATGGAGTGGTAAACAATTGAAACAGAAACAGTTAATGCAATTTTCTATTACCCTCAAGAAGTATCTGATGTCAAGGAAACCAATAATATCACTTTCTCCTTTGGTGAGACCCCAGCTAGACCACTATATGAAGTTTTGTGCCACAAAAATGTTTGAAAGAGATTTGCAAATTGGACCGTGCCCAGAAGAATGTGAGTATGATAGTGAAGGGCCTAGAAAAGAACCCTTGGGGGGAATTGTTGTGAGATAGTTGGATAGGTTTAGTGGGAAAGAAAAGTAAAAATGATAGCCATCTTCAGAAGGATGGTGGAAGATGGATCAGATTTATCCTGTGCTGTTCTTAGGAGCTAAATCGTGTAATTCTGAAGTTAGAAGGAATCCCAATGGTAATCTGGTCCAGTCCTCAACCAGTGCTGGGATCCACATGTGTGCTTGAGCAAACCAGATTGCTCATTTTGGATACTAAACTGCATATTAGCTTGTATTCCGTATGCACAAGACAGAGAATATTTGTGATAAAGCAAAACAGAGTGTGAGATGAATGTGATTATTTCTTGTGTCATAGAGGACTTTTTTCTCTCTTCTGCAAGAATTGCTTTGATTTTTGACTCTCGTAATTTTGTTGCCTTGCAGAACTACAGGTTATTGATGATTCTTATTAAAAAACGGAAAAGCACTAATGATAGGGAGGTTATGACACATATTAACAATCAACAAAATCACACAACAAAATTCAGGCTGTCAGTAGAACCATGCTGAAATGTAATGATTTTTCATTCCTTTCGCACTTCTCCGCTATAAGTAGCAAATTAGCTTCTCAGAAGTAGATTGGATGGGAATACATGGCAAATCATGTGATATACACACTTGTGATAAATCTTATTGTACATCTCACCTCTATGTCTCTTGGGAAGATATTTTAGCTGGATTTTCAGGTAATTAGCTCTTCCCCTACAATATCAAGTGCAGTAAAGTTCTTCTAGTACAAAAATACCTGTTCTCAGAATTTGTCATTTCAGTTATAATGAAGACAGACATGTAAGCATTCTGCAGGATATGTGGGAGTTATGACTGAATACATAGTAGAGCAGATGCAAAACAAACAGACAGAACCATAGTACCTTTCCTGACATTTATACCCGAGGCTGTGCAAGTTTATAGCAGATATGAATCTCACTGCAGCCCTTCCAGTTAATTCAGAATTCGGTCTAATTCTGCCATATAAAATCCATATGAATTGACGTGTTATTGTGTTGAAGGAGAATCCTTTGGCATTTGGAAGGCTAACAAGATACACTGTAGAATGAGTTCTGATAGGTATTCTAGTAGATGCATTTGATACCTCATGGGCTCTCATATTCTTGTGGTCGCTTATATTCATGCCTATGGACTCTATGCTTGGTTTTAGGATGCCACAAAAGCCTGTTGTTTCTGCTGGATAATATCCTTATATTCATATAATCTTATAGGGCTATTATCTAGGCTTTCGGGCAGGTTCGCTGGCTATGCCTTTGAATTCTTGTAATGTGTTATTTGCTCAAAGCTACCTGTCATTCTGTGTCTTTTAGTTCTTTTCACATTTCGTATTGCAAAATGGACACTAGCAGTATTACGCAGAGTAATTTCTCTCTCCCATATAGTTAAGGGAATATTATACTTGAACAAGGTTAACCAGGCCAGCATAATTTGGCCCATTTCCCAAATTTACTATCACACCCATCTTGTTTGTTTTTTTACATAATAGACATAGCAGAGCTCTACCTAGTCCAACTGTTGTTGACACTTTTTGTTGAGAGCAAAAAGCAATGTAATTTCAAAGACATTCGTAAAACTTCATAATAGGCCCGATATTTAAGGACAGTGCTACTCAAAGCGGTGGTTTCACCAATCCATCTGTTACTAATCTCTGGAGAACTTATGGGAAAGAAAGACAAAATTATAGCCAATGGGTACAAATATGGTACTGGTCCCCAGAACACTGGAAAAAAACATTGCTAGTCCTGCTTAAGAAGCACTGCTTTAGGATAGTTCCGAGTTGTTGGATTGCAGTTAGGGCTGTTGCAATATTTATAAAATGTTGTATGTATTTCTGTCACTAAACATTCAGTTCTCCTTTGTAAGTTACTACACCCTCACAGTCTTTCTTTTCAAAATAAAGTTTGTTGGACCTTATCAACGTATGTCCCTGAGGTATGTGACAAACCACCAAACTAGATGTAGTTCAATTGACCTGTATTGTGTCATCTTTTTAAACATTTAAAAGGATTATATGAAAGGAGGAGGACACAGATTGGTTGAAGACTTCATTTTGGGAGTAAGAGCTCAATTTTCCCCATCCTATGCTATTTTCCCATTCAGAAGTTTCTTCCTCTAATTGCTGTTTAATTCAGCATGGAAAATAACAGATAATATTGCCTTTTTTGCTTCAACAATGACCCTATTGATAGCTGAGCAGGGGGTCGTAGATTGGGGAAAAGAAGTGGGCCAGAAGTGGGGCATCAGCTCCCTAGCATGTAACACTGTTCTATTTTACCTGCCTTGTGACTTTTTGAGGGTGGAGGCCAAGGTGTGGGTGGCCATACTCAAGCTCTGGCTCATAATATCCCATGCACCCCTTGGTCTTGCCCCACTAATCATGGAGGATGACTTCCAATGCACATGGAAACAGGCGAAAGCATCCAAAATCTCATTGGGATTTTCTCCAGGCCTACTACTCACTATGGATTACAATAAAGCCAAAGAACTTATTAAACAACGTATCACAGACACAGAGTGCCAACTAGATCTGGCCTCTGTTTCAACCTTTTTTATCAATGAAAACAGCAGATATTTTGCCTCCCCTGTGGCATATTTAACAAATTTAGAACTTCCTATTTATCAAAGGGCTTTCACTCTGGCTCGATGCCATGCTCTCCCATCAGCTGTACTTGAAGGCCGCTACCGGAAGAGCCCTTTCCCAGAGAGATTCTTGCCCCTGTGACTCAGGTCATATAGAAACCATAGAACATGTGCTCCTCAAGTGCCCATTCTACATGGATATTCGTGCCAGGCGTATCTTACCTCTGATATAAAAGCACCCGGGCCGTTCAGAACAATTTTATACCTCCCTATTACTTGTAGATAGTAATTCAGCAACAACCTACAATGTTGCAAAGTTTTGTGCAGCAACATATGAAATCCGTATGGCAATGACTGGTCTCAAAAGTTAACTGTGTATCCAGTAATCATCTTCCTTGATTCTAAAATTTGCTGATAGACCTGTGCATTGTATGTTTTTACCCTGTTTCCCCTTCCGCTCCCTCACCCTTATTGTGCTTCAGTATTTATATTTACATTTTAAATGTACTAAACATTCCAAGTTCGTATGAAACTGTGGCTTTTATTTCCTGTGCTGGTCTATGACCTAAATAAATGATTTGATTTGATATCTGCCTTGTGACACCATTTAAGTTTTGAAGAGATCTCAAAAGATCCTGTCATTGACCTAGAATCGTAGAGTTGGAAGGGCCTCATGAGCCATTACGTTCAAACCTGTACCCAGTGATGATCTCCAGAAAAAGCAGCCTCTTTTTGAAGGTGCTGAAGGAGATCTAGGCAATTTGTTCCATAGCGAAATCACTGTTACTTATTGGTTAGCATGAAGTGTAGGACTTTAGTGTTGTCCCTCCCACTAATTCAACTTGGCCCTTCTAGCCCAAACTTATTATCTGGCTCTTGCATTTCTCTACCAGCCTTGTCCTTGCAGTTGTATTGCACAAGCCTTTGCATCTCCCCTTAGTTTTGAAATGTCCACTATGCTCAGTTACTGGTTCCTGTATGATGAATTATGTTTTTATGATGTTGTGTATGTATTTTATTGTGTATATTTTAACTCTGTTTGACTGGGCTTTGTCCCCATGTAAACTGTCCCGAGTTCCTTCAGGGAGATGGTGGCAGGTTACAAAAATAAAGTTGTTGTTGTTGTTTTTGTTGTTGGATTGCCTACCCCCTTGTTCCTTCCTGTGTTTTTTTAATAGGAAATTATCTGGAAGGAACATCAGGAAATTTTAGGATAACCGATGCTTAGCAGAGTTAGTCTCCTAGCAATCAGGGTAGTTGAAAGCCCCTGTGAAATTGTTTGTGTTTCATCTATATTCTTAAAAAAGATGCTTCAGAATGAAAATTAAATCAAAATTAAGATACATTTATACTTATTCAAATAAGATGCAAGACAAAACGTTTGGGGGCAAATGATGGTATTGGTATTAATATCAATATCCGTATTAATATCTCTAAAATCTATCTCTTTGTTGTTGTCATCCAGGCTTTTTGTGCAATAGTTATGAACATATTTTAATGACGTGCTATAGAAGACTTTACCATTATAGAGTTGCTTAGCAACCTTAAGCCTTTACTTTAATAAGCTCTTTTATAACATATAGCTCTCTATTACAAGTACCTGAAGAAAAAGGAATGGAATTCATCACTTTTTAGGCGTTGTGTTCTAGGGATCAAATGAGTGTTCTCTGTATCGGCAGCAAGAAAGGTTGGCACATTTCTCCAGCTACCTATATTGCTTCCATATACCTGGTTAGATTGTTCCTAAAGGTGCACCCCAGGCACAAATTTTACAATGGCACACAATAATTATTCA